AATTTTAAATACTAAAAAATTAATAGCAAAAGAAAATTTTCTTCATTTAATTCAAAAATTTTTTTAATTAAAGACTTTAAGTTCTTAATCAACGAAGCCTCAGCTTTAGGTGGAGAAGTTGAGAATCTAGTTTAGCAAGCAAACTAAACCCACTAAACCCTTGCCTACCTTTACCTAGCATGCATTAAAATCCATGATTAGGAAAATTAACTGTGTACTGTAAGAAATTACTAATATTAATGTGATGAGAAGAAGGGTACATTATTGTACCAAAAAAAAAAAGAAGGGTACATTATAAAATAATTTGATGGAGATAAGGAAGGAGTTGCGTGCTCAGGAAAAATTAACAGTGTACTGTAAGAAATTACTAATATTGTTTTTTTTTTCTTTTTTTTTTTTAACATGAAAATTTTTTTAAAGGATATGAGATTTTTTTTAAAATTATTGATAAAAGTTAAAATTTTAATTAATTAAATTAAAACATTTAAGAATTAGGGATAATTCATTGCGCCCGTAGATTCAATCCGTGGTTTTTCTTTTTTTAAAAGAAAATGAGTACAAATAAAAAAGAAAAATAAAATAACTAAAATTTAAATTTCAAACTTTTAAAAGCTTCATTGAATTTTTTAAAGAAATCATGCCTGTTAGGCCACAATTGGTGGTTGGCGTATTGTATTGTGAGGCAGCTGTCTGCAGCATAAAAATGACATGTCGAATCCATTAACATTAGATTACAAAAATTGAGGCTGACCTGATCACCTTTCCTTTTCAAAATGAAAGGACAGCCTGCCAATTATCAATGGTTGGATTATTCTTCTCTCTAAAGCCAAAAGCCAAACCCAAATTCCAAAGCCAAAGCTTCCCCCAATCCCCACCCCCCTGGCAGCTGGCCTGGCATCCACACTTTGATGACACGGTAAATATGTCTATACCAGCACCTTTCCAGGCAGACTTGATGCCCAAGCCCCAGCCCCAGCCCCAGCCCCAGCCCTGCTAATGTGGAATGGAATTCAGGGGTTTGCTTTTCACACATCCTAGCTTGATATTCATCTGCCTTTTTCCAATAAATTGCCCTGCTACTACCATACAACTACTCTAACCATCCCTGCTTTATTTCCCTGTTTCAATTTTTAACAACGTCACTATCATGGAATATTTTAAGTCATAACAGAACATATGACCATTGAAAGCGCCGTTTAACCTTTTCCTTTTTTT